GTGTGTTACCCCCTCCTCCCCCCCCCCCCCCGAAATCTGCAAGCGCATCTCAATTTAGTCACATTGGAAAATGACTCGGACTCGGACTCGACCATGACTCCTCGAACTCGAGCTTGGTGACTCATGACTTGAGTCACGTAATTTCATCAAAAGAAAAAACCTAACGCAGGGATGGGAAAGGATCATTGAGGAATAATGTTTGGATGATAAAACATGGAGGGAAGGGATGGAGGAAAATTTTTAGGGATGGGAATTAAAAGGAAAACACATTTTGGGTCTAAACAACATGTACTCACACAACTATATACACTGGGATTTATATAAAAGACAGAATGGATGATTGAAAAATAATTTTAAAAAAAATGATTAGTTTGGTGTACAACTAAGAATAAGTGACTCGTGACTCGGACTCGGACTCGAGGCTTGTGACTCGAGACTTGGTCTCGGACTCGTGGCTTGTGACTCGGGACTCGGACTCGACGTTGGTGACCCGACTTCAACACTGGTACTTGGTCACGGAGTCCACCGTACCTACCAGGTCATTCTGAGTTGACCACCCCAGGGTAGACAGGCAAAGGCACCCATGAGGTGACGACATGAAGCTTGTCCCTCAGCTCAGGATGGGCCTTCATCTGTAAGGCCAGGGTGTTGGAGTCGATGCCTGTACCGTCTGCTGTCTTATTAAGGATCATCTGGATGGACTTCAGATGGGAACCTGGGCAGGAATAAAAAAAATTGTACCAGATGGAAATTATCCTTTTTTTTTTTACATATTTTGTAAACACTGCACACTTAGTGTTGTCCGAAGGCTTAGGTGGGACTCAAACTAATGACCTCCTACACAAACAAAGTTGGGTTACGCCCTGCTACATCAGACTCCAAACCACCAGCTTGCCACAGCAAGCTCAGTGGTCGAGTGGTTAATGCGTCTGCACTAGGAAGCAGAAGATTGTGGGTTCGTGTCCAACCCGAAGTAAGCTTGTGGTTTTTTTTCTTGCAAGCCCTCAGACAACACTCAAGTGTGCAGTGTTTGTAAAATACTTCAGCAAAGGTCAACAAAAAATGTACATATATGAAAAACAATATCAATAATTATATGGATGAAATCCAAAACCAATTGTACTAAAGTTGATTCCTACTTTCTGATTCACGATTTCAAATTTCACAATTATCCACATAGAATTGAGATGAGGACCAATGCAAATGAGTCTTCACAGATGTTTGTCTTACCTGACTGGATAATTTCACAAAAGAAACTGGCCTTGTTCTCCTATCTTTTTGAGTTCTCGATGGGTAATCCCGAATCCACTCAGTGAATGGGCGTCGTTGTAGGCCCAAACAGATCCACGTAGGTCATCAAACACTTAATATCTATCACTGAAATATCATCAATACAATTATGATTAGCATTGGAACAATTACATAGTATCAGGTGCGGGGGTGGGGGGGGGGGGGAGAGGAGGGGGGGGGGATGTCAGGGGAAGAAAGGGGGTTGGGGATTACATTCCCCCCCCCCCCAAAAATTTGACAAACACACTTTCCCCTTCCCAATTGTCACATTTGTGGAAGACAGTGTTCTAGTGAAGGTTTGCAGTTTGCAGTAACACCATGTAGCAGACCCGCTGGAACCAATTTTTGACGGGGGGTGCTGAAATTTGTTTAAGACAATCGGCAAGTGCGAAGCGCGAAGCACAAAGCCATTTTGGCGTGGGGTTCAGGGCCCGCTTAAGGGCCCCGAAAGCTCTGGGGTCCTAGATTCTCTGTGGTGTTATCTCAGCCACTTTTTGACTCTATTACATCTTTTGTTTTGGGGTGGAGGGAGAAAGTTTACACCAGAATGAACCATGTATATATTTAAAACTAAAAACAAAAAACAAAACAAAGCAATAATAATCATTGTTTCCATAATGCTGTTTTTGCCGATATTTTATTAACTGACCTAATGCATCGGGCTTCAAAACTGTAGCAAGACTATAAAGTGCTGTTGAAATAAATGATTTAGACAAGGGCATCAAGCGCTTCACAAAAGTGGGGGAGGTGGACATACCTTGATCAGAACATGGAATACAAAGTAATGCGAGCACAAAGCGACAAGTCCTAACGGTGTGGGGTTCGGGGCCCTCTTAATGGTTGGTTACAATGACTGAACTCTAAGCAGAAGGTTCTGGGTTAACATCCAGACCAAGTAGTTAGCTCTTGGAGTCCTACATTATGTACGCTACTGATTATCAGCACCACTCCATGTACATGGATATCTGCAGCAATTTGCTGTTCAACAAGATTCCAATCAGCCAGCTGACTCCAGCAAGCTTGGTGGTGGAGTTGGTTAAGATGCCTGCAGTCTAAGCTGAAGGTTCGTGGTTCACATCCAGACCACATAGTAAGCTCTTGGAGTCCTACATTATGTACGCTACTGATTATCAGGACCACTCCATGTACATGGATATCTGCAGCAATTTGCTGTTCAACAAGATTCCAATCAGCCAGCTGACTCCAGCAAGCTTGGTGGTGGAGTTGGTTAAGATGCCTGCACTCTAAGCAGAAGGCTCTGGGTTCACATTCAGACCAAGTAGTTAGCCCTTGCAAATTGTCTTGCAAAGATGTTCCATCAACAAAACTGAGAATATGACAGCGTCAACTTGATTATCAGGCAAGGCAGAGACTGATTTCAAATGACAACCCCAGAAAGTGAGAAAAAAAATTATCAGATGACAACCAACATTCGCCCAGAAAAAAAAAAGCAACAGATGAACAGAAATCAAATTGTAATTTGTGAATAAAAACTTCTATTTAACTTCATTCCTTATAAGATCAAATTGAATATCAAACAGAAGGGAAGTACAGAATTGTTGTATGGGTAAATAAATCAACATCCAAGGGAAGAACACAATTCATTTTGGGGAAAAAGACAGCAAGGATTGATAGAAAAGAAAATCTCCTCTTTGTTGCTGTTGTCTACATCTACATGTATATATACCTTTGTACATGTACAAAGTAAAATTAGTGCTTAAAGATGTTTTGAGTGAATGTTACTTTCCGTCTTCAGTAACATGACCAAACTTAAACCAACTACCTGCTCCTCCGTCCAATCACATCCATACTGTCATTATCCCCAAAGCCATATTCAGGATGTATTCATCAAGTTTATTCCCACGTGACCGGTTGAACCAACTACAGGATGAGTCAAAAAGAAAGTGACCGAATTTGAAAAAAATGTTTCAAATATTTGGCTCATTACTACGTTAATAAAAAACTACGTACATCTTATTGACTATTAACTGTGAAAATTTCACTTAAATTGCATACTCTATTCCCAATTCATGTCCATTTCTATAAAATGATCACAAAACTTGGCTGTCCACCACTTATCAATTACCGTGCTGTGAACTGATAATACATGTACCCATTGAGGACAATAAAACATCCATCGTTTTCCCACCTCCATGAATGAATGAGAACTTGCAAAGGAAAAGATACAAAAATCACCTTCGATATTTTGAAGGAAAAAAAACAGAGTTGACTTGTCTCTCATATTCAAAACACAATCTGATAGTAAAAATTGTCTTGATTTCAATCATTACAATTTCATTTGTATTTGAATACTTGTGTGTAATCTGTAATTCTCACCTAGGTCATTTAGCTTCCAATATTATCGCATTCCTTGGACAGCTACACAAATGGGTTCTTTTTAGTAAAACATGCATAACTTTGGATGGCATGATCAAGGATAAGGAAAACGGTGACTCAGACCCATTCAGAGACGCCCTTTCTTATACCCGTAAATATGTATGGGTTTGGGTGTTTTCGTCTTTGTGTTTATTTCCACTGAGTCAGGTTTGACAGGATTGGGTTGGGAAATTAAACATATGTTTTTCGGGGCACCAATATAATGGGTTTATCCTTTGGTGTGAAAGATTGTTATGGACATTAGGAAAATATTGCAAGTTGATTACTATAGTAAATTGAAAAAATGTTGACCTCCACTTCCGTTCATTGGGTGAATTCAGACACGGGAGTCTGTGGCTAGACTAGTCAGTGTTTGGTACCAAGATGTTCACATGAAAAGTGAATGTGAACTGGCGAGACTTGCATGCTCTATAATTGTACATAATCTGTGTAGCACCACTAGTCTATTGTATTACATTATGAGCCCATATCTGTATGATGTTTAAATGCAAAGCAATATTCTAATATATCTTTGAGATGGACTCAACGGTACTTCAAATTTGGGAAATTGAAAAATCAATGCTGTAAAATATGAATGTCGTTGTAAAGTTCGCATCATACAAGATGTATCTTAATTTGCACAGTATCCGAGGAATTGCTGTTTTTTATATGTTCATTAAAGCTGCGATTTCCTTGTGTAATTTAAAACTCTAAACACAAATAATACAGAAATGTACTATCACCAAATCGTTGTTTGAGCTCTTACGTCTTTCTGGTACTAGTAATATTTGAAGAAAAAAAATTGCAGGGCAAACCATGTTTCTAAAAGTCACATACTTTTTATAGGACAAAAAACAAATTTGTCTGTAAAAGCAAGATCAGTGATAAAATAAATAAAAGTGTACACTAGCAACATTCAAACAAACAGTGATTTTCCTGAATTTTGTATTTAAAACCTAATTCCTGCTTGTAGAAATGTAATTGTTGAAAAATCCCTATTGAGTAAAAGAGCTTGCTGATCAATGTTGAAAGTACAAACATATACCCTCAATATTCATGCCACAAAAGTAAGCCAACATATTGGTTAGCAAAGGGGATGACATGGGTTTAAGTCTTTTGTGGCTTGTTTCTTTCTTTTCAATATTTAATTCCTGACAGACATATTAGACAATGCACAATATGTACACCTGTCTATCTTTCTGTGTGTTGCATTCTGATTGGTTGGAATTGATCAGCATTAGCTACTAATAGGCCACGCCCCTCGACAGCCGATCCAATCAAACATAAAAGCTGATCTATGTCTTTGCAGAAAGGAAACATCAGAGAAAATACTTACTTTTGTAAGCACCAAGCCGGAAACCAACAGTGTTATCTGTCAATGAAAATAATAAGACATGAAACTGAACCGTTTGCACAATTTATCCAGGGCCAAGTTTCATGAAGACCCGACAAGAAATTAGGGGAATAACTGAGAAAAAAAATCCTGAAACTTTCTGTTGCGGTGTTCATAACAGGTTCATTGTATGAAAATTGTATGTCCATTCCAGGCAATGTGCACTTTTAACTTAATAATGATGTAGTGCCTTGAACACCAATACTGGTGGATAGGTGTGCTCTATCTTAAAAAAAAAAAAAAAAAAAAACCAAGTAAAGAAACGCTTCGATGTCAAATTTGACTTTCATTTAAGAGTGTCTTGGGTTACTCTTTGATTCTCTCAGAACTAATTCAACTTCTTTGTAAAGCCATGTTGACAGGATTCAACAAGCAGCATTTTTCCCTAACACATGATGATGCCATTGCCCATGCCCCACCACTGGTCAAAACATGGGAGGGGGTAGGGATAAATCCCCCACCCCTGGTGTTCATGCCATGAGACCCAGTTTGCCAGTAAGTCCAGGGACAGTTGGTTTCAATCTGCCCCTGAATGAGAGAGTTTCTATAAGCAGGGGCTTGGGGTTCACATCCCACCAATGACAGAAATCATCAAATCCAAAGGATCTAGAACAAACATGAAAAGATTGGATATAAATAAAAATGAATGTCAGTTTAACTCACCGATGCCATCTACACTCTTGCCCATGGTAAACTCACACTTGTTGCGTATAATACTGGCTGTGAGCGGGGACACAACAATGAAAATGAAGGAACAAATGCAGCCTGACTTTTATTCAGTTCTCATGTGGTTGACTGTTTCCCACCCCTATCAGAATATACAATGACCAGGAACCAGTCTACTCAGCAGGCGGGTCTCATAGTGTGCAAATATACAACCAAAAAGGCCTTTTCAAGTTCAGACCGTTGCGTGCAGATGACTAAAATAGCAAAATAAGTGCCAGTAGGTTTTCCCTTCAAATAAAACATACATGTAGTAGTTGAAAAATTCATCAGTACAAAAAGAAACACAAAATTGTTGAGGACAGGCAGCACTGACTTTTAAAAATGAAAATTGTCTTTTTGTTGTTATCTACCGTTCAAAGGTTCGCATACATGAACAATGTGAACTTAATGATTGAAGAAGTTTTAAGTGAATTCTACTTTCCATAATCAGTAACATGAACAAATTTAAACCAACTGATACACAATTGCAGACACGTACAATGTGGAGCATAGGCCTACAATAAAAAACTGAAAATGAAACTAATTATCAGAACTCGAGTTGATGCCAGTAACGAAACTGAGTTGTCTGCTTTAGTTACAGCTACTGCTGTCACAAGATATGTCATGTGTATTACAATACCAGTATATCTGAGAAAAATGCGGGGAAAAAGGCAAAAATATGAAGAACCTTCAGTTTCAACTACACATTTCTTGGTGTGTTAGTATAAAACTGGAGTGTTCTTGAAACAGGGCAGAACACTCTTTACTGCATCTGAATAAAATGTTGGACGTGGAGATCAATGCTACACTGTACATGAACTATGGGTGATGGCTACCAAAACAGCTCCACTCCATCAAATGAATGGACAATTGAACTTGGAAAGCTTCTTGAGAACTATTACAAACGTGCAGACAGAATTGATCAAATATCATCGTTAGGTACTGAAATCATCGCACCAATCGGCCTCCTCATCAACTTTGTCTTTCTCTTCACAGTCATTCGAGTGAAGTCCATGCGTACAATCATCAACATCTACTTATTCAATCTGGCTGTGGCTGACTCGCTCTACCTAATGATTGTTTTTGTAGTTGTACTGTTTTTACCCATAGAGTACAACGTCTTTGTTCAAATAGCAATCTATAGTGCCCAAAACATACTTTGTGCCGCTTCTAATTTCTTTGTGGTTGCCATAGCAGCTGAGAGATTCTATGCGGTGCGTAATCCTCTGACATTCAAGGTAAAAGCCTCTAAATCTCGAGCAGCAAAGATATCAGCAGGACTCTGGGTGCCAACAATTATTGTTGGTGTGATTCTGATATTCTTACCAAACACTCTCTTCCATGACATTATGTTTTGGATTTCTTCCATCATCGACATTGTCTGTTTTATAGCAACTCTTGCTTTGTACATCTATGTAGTAGTGAAAGTCCGAAAGCAATCAGCCCTGTTGCCAAACCGTCCCAAGCGAGCAGGCAAGGTCCTCTGTATGGTTGTCGTCAATACTGCTGTTTTCTTCGTTCTGAACTCACTGGACACTGCAGCTGTGATCATTGTCATTGTGGCAGGGACTTATTCTACAACTGTGCCTTCCCAGGCTGTTGACATTTTAAAACTTGGAGAAAAGCTTGATATTCTAGCTCTTTGTGCAGACCTCTTTCGACTTATCAATAGCTCAATCAATTCCTTAGTCTACAGTGCCACCAATGCTGAATATCGCGCTGCTGTAGTCAAGGCTTTCTCATTCCTGAAACTGTGCTGTCACTGCTGCCCAAGACGGAATCCCAGCCGACCATCGCAGCCAGGGAAGCAGATTGAGCTTTGTGTGATACCACAGGCAGAAAATGACCAAGAGCACCGTGCTGCTAGGCCAAGCAGCAGCAAGCCACCAAGCCATGGGGATGCACAACGCACAGAGAGTCAGCAGCCACTGGACAGCTGTCAAGAACAATGTTCCAGGCAAAGCAGCAGCAAGGCATCCATGCACAGTCAGCAGCATGTTCAAGTGCATGTTGAGGTACATGCAGAACCAGCAGGGACCCCAGCGCTTGCAAGTTCTCATCAGGAGCAATGATCTAGTCTGACTGACTGCAAGCCATCCATGCAAGGGGAACAGTGTGTACATCCAGAACCAGCAGAGAGCCAGCAGTCACTTGCAAGTACTCAGGAACAATGTCCTGGGCTGACTGGCACTGAGCCATCAGCACAAGGGCAGCAGTATGCACATCCAGAACCAGAAGGGCGTCAATCGTTGGAAAGCTGTCAAGAACAATGTTCTCTGGTAACTGATGAGTGCAAGCCATCCATGTAAGGGCAGCAGTGTGTACAGTCTGCAGATAGTCAGCAGTGTTTTCCAAGTTAGTGTACAGCTATAAAGTGTTGTATGTATAATTTTCAAACTCTACATGTAGTTGGTACATAAGGTTTTTCACAGTAATATACACCATCTTGCCAGTGGGGCAATTTCACATGCGTTGCTGTGTATGCATCGTCATTGGAAAGCTTTGGCACTTCCACGTCATCGTGCGTTCATTCTAAAATGTGCCCGCATCTAGCAACGGATGTTTTTTTGGCCCTGCAAACAAGATGGTGAGTCCCACCTGAGTGATGTTTTTCCAACTTTCACTTGGGAGGTATTACTGAGTATACAGTGTATATATACGTCGGTGAAGGGCAAAACCTAATTTGATTTTGATCACCCCAACGCATAAATTCCATCTTATGATTGGCGCATATTACTGTGAAACACCTTATTGGTGACGAGAAACATTCACAGCATATTATCAAGAATTGAAACGTATTTTACTTTAATTAAGTAGGGAATTGTCAATACTTCCTGTGTCATCAGTAATGTGCAGGCCCAGAACAGATTGCCACCTACTATCAGCTACATGCACATAAAAAACTTGCATGCAAGTGGTTCAGAAATACTTGTAAATGATGGTCTAGGCAAATGGATTACAAAATTGCATACTCAAAAAATAATACTTCTGCTTCTGGTTACCCGACCGACCCTATTTTTAGGCTGCGACCCTAAAAATGTCATCGGCAATTCAAAAAAAAAATGATAATAATGATTGAATAAACAAAAATAAAAACCTGTTGTCTTTTCTGTCTTCACAAAATACCTCTCAACAACCCTTTTCTGTCAAAAACATGCTTGTATTTGTTTGTTTTCTTACTTACATTCGCTATTTTTTTCAAAAAAACCTCCGCTATTTTTACAAATTCCCTTCGCGATATAACTACTTCGCAATTCGAAGTCACGGTGACTATAATCATGTGTGTAAACCGAGCTCAATGCAGTGACGACTGGTTCCCTGCCGCGCCGTGCAGGGGCCAATTTATAAGACATGATGAAAATGCGGTAACCAGTCTGTCATGGCTATGCGATCGATAGCGCTAGCATGGCTATGCATTGCAGGCACGTGCACTGTCAACTGGTCGTATTTGACATCGTAAAAATGCCAAGAAAACACCGATGGAGAAAGAACATTTTTGAAAGTTAATTCACAGAATTGATCTAGCTTGTCTGTGTATGCATTTTCCGTGTTCAAGAGTTCATTTTGAGATCGCACTACTCGTATTTGACGTGATACAATACAGCGTGTTTCCCGAAATTTTCGACCATAAAAACGAGGTCTGTTGGCCGTGCGCCACACATGCACACAGTACATCACACACTTCAGAGTTTTGGCCAGCTTCCCGTCTTGACTAGCGTTGTGCATATGGTGCGAACAACCTGAATTTTCCATTTTTTTACGAATTATCGAATGTAAATATACACATGTATTGACAATAATTAAGGTAGGTTTTATTCACTTTCTGTTGCCATTTCGTGTATAGCTTTCGTAGTGCAATGGAAATAGTTCAGGTTAAAACTTCGCATATAATTGAATACCCCTTTCAATCTGCAAAAAAAAAAATTGGCAAAAAAAAAAAATTCCGACCGACCGACCGACCCTATTTTTGAAAGGCATGTAATCGAAAGCAGAATTATTGTTTTTTGGCCTGATGTACATATTAACTGTTACTTGAATGAGGTTTTTGTGTGCCTTTAAATGAGCAAGTTTGTTTTTAAACTTTGTCTGTGTGAAAATCTACATGAATTGGCACAAACATCTACATTTGTACATGTATAACCCTACATTTTCCACTGCAGATACTTAAGTGCGTTTGAAACAGATCTTGAGGTTTTTAGTTGATGAAGGGTTACGATGCTCCAGGCTTTAAAATATTTTTAAGAAAGTGCCAAGTTCCATATTCATGAGCAATGCAGTGATGTCATGAGCTGGAACTTCAGTGTCACTGCTGTTTAAGGACGGAAAGTTACAAAGTGTTTTGGTTGAGGTTGATGTGACTGTTTGTTCATTGTGCACGAGGCACAGGCAGTCAGTCAGATACTTTAACAACAAACGGCTACGTGTACATGTACATTTTCAATGCAATGAATTTTAGTTTCACAAGTTACACAGAAAATCACAAAGCTGTAAATGTGAAATACCTAAAGCGATATCACAGCAACAGTAGAAACAACTATTAAAGCGTACAGGCATTGTAAAAAGTGCAATGGAAAAAAAACTTTCTACATGCAGTTTACCATTACTTTCATATTGACATGAGGCTAGGATATTTCCAGGTTTTAGTGAAATTCATCCAATGGCCTTTAAATTCTGTAAACAAAATTACAAAAAGACCCTGAGAAATCTTCACCATGGAGAACATTGACATGAACTCTTAATAGAGCACAAACTGCATTATCATTATCGAGAGTTGAATGCTTAGAGAGCAAACTCACCGCAAATCCAAAATGTCTTGGGAGGTTTTGGATCTCAATCTTGAAGATCTCTGAGGTGAAGTGCTGTTGCGTCAGATAGTGATAAGGATCTGTTATTGTAGCGCCAGTCACCGACACATCACGGGTGCTGGTGGAATGGTTATCTTGTGGGTCAAGACCTGATAGACAAAAACGAACAAATTAAAAGACCAACTCCAATTAGAGAAAATAAATTTACTTTGATTTTTTTTAAGCATGAGATATTTGTAAGTTTAATTATGAGTTTTCAAGCTAGACATTACACAACAAAATCAGTTCACAATAACAAACATATCAATAAATTTCAAATTTCGAATAAGAAGCATTCCAAAGTTGAATAGTCTTAATTAATATAGATTTACAACAAATGTACACTGTTACTGAAAAAATCAATGCTTTAAAATATGAACCTCTTTGTGAAGTTAGAGATCAACCTGTACAAATATCTTAATTTGGACGGTTTCCAAAAATGACCAATTTCTACAGTACATATTTTTTGTGTGCGCGATTAAAAACTACCAAACACAAATAATGCTATGTACTATCACCATTCTGGTATTTGAGCTAGTATGGTTTTCTGATGCTTAATACATTGTTGATGCCTCATATTATTTTGATATTTTCATTTGCCTTTTTTAATGGGCTTTTTATTAATCAACAAAAGAATGAATCAAATTAGGTTTCGCCCTGCACCGACGTATAAACACTGTACACTCAGTGTGTTACCTCCTGAGTGAAAGTTAGAAAAAATCACTCGGGTGGGACTCAAACCCACGACCTCCTTCTTTCTAGTGCAGATGTCTTACCACTTGACCACCGAGCTAACGGGATCGGTTGGCTGGTTCAAATCTGATGTACACAGCAGGGGGTAGTGCATTAACTATTCATAAGATGGATAGTCTGTGAAGGGCAAAACCTAATTTGATTTACATCACCCCGACGCAAAATTCCATCTTATAAAAGAATGAATGTTTTAAGATATGAATGGCTTTGTAAACTTTGCATTCATTCGTCAGAAATCAACAAGTTTGACAGCTGAACAAAGGTGCAATTTTTTTTATAAAATTGAACCCTCGATCCCCCAAATAAGAAAAAAACAACCTGGAAAACAAGGAAACTGTTTTGCAGCAAAATGAATTCCACTGGGTTAAAGTATTAAGTTTCCAATAAGCAAGAATGGACAAAATCACATGAATGAGATTACACTTAGCTGACCTGGCAAAGGGGCAAACGTCTTCACCAAGTAAAAGAATAACAAGTCACCTTTGGATTTGTCCTCCTTATCTTCATTGGGAATAGCATCCATAGTGATGGCCACATCTGTTGGCATCTTGACAACATCACCCTCCGTAACTGTGGTTGACGTTACCTCCCCAGTTGGGACATCATCAGAAGTTGCTCCCTGCTTCTCATCCATTTTGGTGTTATTACGTTGGACCAAAAACACACTGGAAATATAAAGAAACTGCACATAAAGCAGTTGCAAACTATTGGAAGCCATGACCAGTGGGATATCTACCGGTAGGGGGAGGGGTCGAAATTTGAAATCACAACGCGCACCTAAAACTAGTATGGTAACCATATTGTGTTCATGTCTCTATGCAGCATGATGTACCATACCAGTTTTAGATGCGCGCTGGCGACAGTTCTATCTGAAAAGCCACCAAAATCATCATTTCCCCCCCATCTTTTAGTCGGTGTATTTCTGTTTCAAGCCAATCCTTTGCTCTGTGATGAGTTCTGCATTGTATTAGGTGAGTTTAATCTCAATTAGGTTTGGATAATGGGGGGAAAAAGACAATTTCAGTTGAGGCAATTTTTCATGGCCTCCGCCATTTTCTGACTGCTGGGGAAAAAAACAGTTGGGGAAGAATTCCATACATATTGCATCGACATCACTAATATTACCCCACAGTGACCTATCAGCCATCAGAAAGGGATAACGTGTTTAAAAGTCAAATTTAGCAGGAAAAATATTAAAGTTATTACTGAGAATACACTTCAAATTTATCAGACCAGTCTCATAGGGTTTGTGCACCGGGTGTCAAGTGATGTCCAGGTACGGAACTCTTTCCAATAGTTGTTCCCCCAGCTCTAGCTTGAGAAACTCTATTCCAAAAATTTGGAACTCTCAATACTGTCTATGAGAGTCCCAAAAATTAAGGTTTTGAAAACTTGCCATACAAGATGGAGATGAGAAAGTCCAGCTCCAATGCTCATCCCGAATTTGACATGTAGAGCTGGAGGCACATCTAGTTTTTGTCCAGCAGTTGGAAAATGGCGGATGCCGTGAAATTTGGCCTATACTAAACTTTACCTTTTCCCCTATTATCCAAACCCAGATGAGATTAAACTTACTTCACGCCATGCAGCAATCATTTACGAAGCAAATGGTCGACTTGAAACAGAACAATGCTTAGTACTAGCTTGAGTAACTCCAGCTCCAATGCTCATCAGGAATTCGACATATAGAGCTGCATGGAGCTAAAAGTATGTTGTAGATTCTAAGATGCCCTGAAAAACAGGGCTCTCTGTATCTGTATCACAATCTGGGTTGGGATTAATTAATAGAGGGGAAAAGGACCATTTTTGTGATACAGACCTATACAGAGAGTCCCGTTTTTAGGGCCTCTTAGAATCTAGTATCAATTTCAAACACATGAATTTCCTCTTCATGACAGAAAAGAAAAATAATATTTATAGTATTAAAATATAAAGGTCTCTTGAGGTGGCAAAACCTTGAAAGCATAAGATTCCCATGTTCCCATATATCCCTGTGTCTGCACAACACAGTTTTAGCGCTAAATGTCGAATTCCTGATGAGCATTGGAGCTGGAGTTACTCACCACACTACAGGTACCCACAATTTTGTTTTGCTCTGCCCCCAATTGTATTACCCATTTATTCTCTCCCTTTCTACAGATATGAGTGACACCATTTGCACTTTCCAACAGCTCAGAAAGGCAAAGGAAAAGGCCTTACGCTTTTCCTACCATCAGGATAACTACAGTTTTTACTCCCTCTCTCGATTTATCCCCAAAGGTTTGCAACTGTCTCACACTCCCTGCTTAGGAAACCTCCCACCACACCTTCAAAGGAGATGGAATCAAGTTATACATGGTGCCTCTATTAAACTCATCAATATTCTCTCTCAGCAGTGTCAATTTACACGTGAGGACCTCCATCAGAATATTTCCCACCTTGACTCCCAACTCAAATCCAGTTGTTCTGACTCCACGTACAGGAATTTCCATGATGAAATTGAAAGGGGTTTGTCTAACCTTGACTCTGTCCTACTCAACAGGAGAAACAAGAAGATTGGTGGCTTGCTTGCCAAGCAACAGCAACGCAGACACAGACGTTTCAGACGTCCTAGGTCCCCATCTACCACGCCTACGCCAGAACCCCCTGTCAATACTGTAGTTAATCTTTCTTCCTCATCAATATCTGACGCAGAGCACAAACTTCTCTCCAAGGGTCTCAATTTTTGTCCCGCTCCCCGCTCTGTGAACCAGGTTCAGCTCAGCCAAGATCTCACGGAATACTACCGTAGAATCCGTCTGCGTGAGTTTTTCCTGGACAGTGAACCTTGTGAGCCAGAGCCTTTTCGAGTCAAGAGTTCATGGGTACCCCCCAAGAATCGTGTGCCAGCCATAGAGACATGCGTTCAAGTTATCAATTCCCAAGTCACTAACCCGGACAACTTCCCCCACAGGACTCATGATAATCTCCCCAGAGAGGAGCGCCTGGCTCTCAACTCCTTGCGCTCTCGCACCGACATCATCATCAAGCCAGCAGATAAAGGTTCAGCTGTGGTCATCATGGATCGTCAGCAGTACATTGATGAGGCCCACCGCCAGTTGGATAATCGCACTAACTATACCCGCCTTGACTCTGACCCCACAGGTACTTTCTGTCAAGATATACAACAGGTACTTGACGATATGCGATCACGTGACCAGTTGTCCAAGAAAGCTCACAAATTTCTTTCTCCCTGTGATTGTAGGACTGCCAGATTTTACCTTCTACCCAAGATTCACAAGGCTGGCAACCCCGGTAGACCCATCATCTCCGGTAATGGCTCACCCACGGAACGCATCTCCCTGTTCATTGACAGTTTTCTCAAACCCCTTGTCCCACAGATTTCGTCATACATTCACGACACCCCAGACTTCCTACGCAAGCTTGAAGGAATCAAGGACCAGATTCCCAGCACAGCCATCATTGGGACTTTCGACGTCTCATCTCTGTACACCAACATCCCACATGAGGAGGGTGTTCGTGCTTGCTCCTTGGCTCTGGCCAAGGCAGGACACACGACTCCTCCCATCAGTGATGTTGGCACCCTCATGAGACTTATACTAACGAAGAACAATTTTTCCTTCCTTGGTGAACACTATCTACAGGTACACGGCACTGCAATGGGCACTCGCATGGCTCCGTCGATGGCTTGCCTCTTCATGGGTGACCTCGAAGAACGCATTCTTGCCTCGGCCCCATGTCGCCCTTGGATCTGGTGGAGATATATTGATGATGTTTTTTTCATCTGGACCAGTGATAAGGACAGTCTCTTGACCTTCACTAACCACATCAATTCCTTCCACAGAACCATCAAATTCACATCGGAGTTCTCGGCTCACCAAATCCACTTTCTGGATGTCACCGTCCGCAAGCAAGGCAACTCACTAACCACTGACCTGTATTCCAAACCCACAGACACCCACCAGTACCTCCACTCCTCCAGCTGTCACCCCAGACACTGCAAAACCGGCATAGCGTTTAGCCAGGCACTCAGACTCAGAAGAATTTGTTCTAATGATTCCGATTTCTCCCGCCATACACAGATACTGAGGAACAACTTGGTGGCCAGGGGTCACAGCTCTCGCCAAGTTCATCGTGCCATTGCCAGAGCTAAAGCTATCCCCAGAAATCTAGCTCTCACGGGAAAGGCCCCTGATGCCATGGCCAAACCCATGATTCCCTTGGTTACCACGTTTCACCCCAATCTCCCTCCCCTTCGCAAAATCACTAATGACAATCATCATATCCTCCATACTTCAGATCGCCTTGCCCGCGCCATCCCCAACGGCCCCACATTGGCTTACAGGCGTCCTCGAAATCTACGGGACTTGATTGTTCGAGCTGAAGTCCCATCCTTAGATGCATCCCCTCCCACCCAGCATGGTACTTTCAAGTGCAGTTCCAGATGTGTTGTCTGCCAGATTCATATCCAGGAGTCTGACTCCTTTTCTGGCCACTCTTCTGTCACTACCCACAGAACCATTGGTAACATCACTTGTAACACCTCTAATGTCATATATCTCATTTCTTGCAGGGTCTGTGGAGTGCAGTATGTAGGTGAGACTAAGAATACGCTCAAGAAGCGTTTCTATGCCCACCGGTCAACGGTCAACACCAAGAAACTAGACACCCCTGTTGGTCATCACTTCAACCTGCCTAACCACTCCATTTCTGATATGATTTTGCAGGGCATTGAATCTCTTGGCCATCGCAAGGACTCAGTTCGCCTCAGCAGAGAGAAAGTGTGGATGAATCGTCTTCGAACTATTCAACCACATGGTCTCAACATTCAACTTGGAAATGATTAATCCTTTTTTTCCTCCATTGTCTTCTGTTACAGATAATCCATCTGGTCTTCCTTGTTTGTGTTTACCCATCTTCCCCCATCTTTCATCCCTTTCCACCTCCATACTGTCCCCCCCCCCCCCCCCCCCGCATCATCCCTTCACTCTCACACTCTTTTGTCCGTTCCCACTCCCTGTGACCTTTGATCCTTCCCCTTTCTGGTCCCTCCCCTGTTCACACCAGACCCCTTGTGGTTTGCCATCTCCCTTTGTTTCTTTGTTCTCTCATCCACCCTCCCCTGCATCTTTCTACACCTTTCCCACTTAATCCTCCTTTTGTGTTTCTTCTTTCAGCCCTGCATGTTTGTGTGCACCCCCATGTTAATGTATGTACCTCTGTCATTTCTGTTTTAGCCTCTGAAGAAGAACTTGCTAAGTTCGCAACGTCAGGCCACATTAATTTAAGATTTAGTTTTATTAAACTAAAATATGAAAAAAAAACCAGATTTCAATGGCTTTTCCGAGGCCATTTTTTACAGCCTTTGCCATATTTTGGTTGCTGGACAAAAACCAGATGTGTGCCTCAAGCTTTAGTCCGAGTAACTTGGACCCAACTTATCGCCCTTTTAACATTCGGACATGGTCTGGTGACCTACTTGCCAGACCATGTCTGAATGTTGAAAAAGCGATAAGTTACTTGGACTACCACCAGCTCATATAATGTTGAATTCCCGATGAGCATTGGAGCTGGGGTTGGAAAGATTCCCGTATCTGACCATCGCTTTTCACCCTGAGCTCAAACCGTATGAGACTGGTCTGAAAATGTCTGTGTTTTCTCAATTTCAAATACAGGCCTACTTCAACATTTCCCTGCAAAATCTGACTGTTTAGGACACAGGCCTATTATCACTTTCTGATGGCTGATAGGTCACTGAAGGGAACAAATAGGGCAATCATGTAGTGTAGGGCCCCTGTTTTGTTTTTATCAAATTAGAATCAAGAATCAAGAATGTTTTTTATTTCTAAAAAATGACATTGTCAACTTAAACAGACTTCTCTCAATGTTTTGACACATTTTTGGCAATTTTTGAACAGTTTTCTTGGGGTAGAAATTACGATTGTCCTACGCGGTTTACAGGCCAGTTGGTGTCGTGCAGCGCGACTTGTGTGCTCATGGTACACATGGTCCATCGCGCGGTGATCGCCATCTTTATTTTCGTGTTGCGCTTTGTCGTTGTCGTCGTCATTTTACCCCCAAATTTTCTTCATATATTAAAAACACTGCCCTTTATCTATGACATGGGGAATCCTTACATTTAGGACCCATTCCTATATTTGAAAGACTCATCAAAACAGCCGACTAAATGACACTAAAAAGTGACATTCTGATATTTCTTGACACATCTGAACAGGTGGTTATGACACCTTCTTTATTATCAAAACTTTAATTTTGTGGAAAGAGGGCAGGGCTTTGATTTATGAGGGAAATTAAGGGGTAGAACTAAAAGACGACGACAACCAGAAAACAGACTCAAAAACCAAGATGGCAAATGTGAAAGCTAGATGCAATGTAAAAGCTCACTGCTGATTGGCTGATAAAAAAAAATATATTTTACTTATTTTTTTTTAACAGCCAATCAGCATTGGGCTTTCATTGTTTTGGGCTTTCACTCGTGTTGTGAGAAATACAATGGGCACATCTCACGTTTTACTCCTAGAACTATGAGGCTCCACGTAGGCTCCACGAGGTTCCACGTAGATGAAGAACCCCGCAAAATTGTTTGCAGCACAAAACACTAATTAAGTACAAAAACGTCCATCAAAATGCAGACATTTCCCACAGAACCACTGCACAGTTTGCCCCTAAACTCCGTACTACACCTCATGACATACGTAATATACGCAGAACAAACATCGCTGGATTTTGTCGGTTTTTGGCTAAAATGATGAAAAATATGCCCTTTCCGCACTGAGCCAACCTGACACTTTAAACGTGCTCGCATATGATCCAGCGATGATTTTTCGGATCACTCGGAGCCAGGCGCGGTTCTAGAACCAATATTTTTGGAAGGCTAGCACGGTGGATCCAGAATTTTTTCAGGGAGGCGTGCTGAAATGTTGACCGGTATTTTTTTCCAGACACTTAGGCCTCCGAAAATCAATAGGGGGGGGGGGGGGGGGGGGAGGGCCTCATGCCATATTTTCAACGGGGAGCACCAATAAAATCCTAAAATCATTCACACTGTCACGCCCCAACTATCGCATCGGTCCCAACTATAGTTGGGCCTGTCCCAACTGTAGTTCCACAGTTGGGCTGGCCCAACTATAGTTGGGACGGTCCCAACTGTAAGTTCCACTGTTGGGCTGGCCCATCTATAGTTGGGCCACTCCGATCTTTTTATTTTGCGGTGTCCCAACTATAGTTTACATTGATGTACAACTGTAAAACGTTCCCTACAGCTCTGATACACGTCTGACTTTACTGGGGACCACTGAAATTAGCTATTGATGGGGCGAATCTATAGTTGGGCCACTCCAATCTTTTTATTTTGCGGTCCCAACTATAGTGTACATTGTTGTACGATTATAAAACATTCCCTACAACTCTAATACACATCTGACTTTACTTGGGACCAATGAAATTATCTATGGGTGGGGACCATCTGTAGTTGGGCCACCGCAATATTTTTATTTGGCGGTCCCAACTATAGTTTACATTGATTTACGACGACTATAAAACATTCCCTACAGCTCTGTTACATACTGTCCGACTTCACTTGGGACCTTTGACATTAGCTATGGGTGGGGCCCATCTATAGATGGCCGGCCATGGCAATCTTTGAATTTTGCAAAATGTTGCTGGACAATCAACCCAGCAGCTGGACAACTCATCCAACTAGGCAGTATACCACGTGACCGGTCAGCCTTGGCCTTGCGGCATGCATGCACGACGAATACACGGTGCCAGCGCCGCGGAACATTTAATCCAACAAGATCTATCAAGCATGAAGCATCCGGCGCAACTCCAGTCCTAACTATAGTTGGGCCGACCCAACTGCCGCACTATAGTTGGGACAGTCCCAACTATAGTTGGGACCGATGCGATAGTTGGGGCGTGACAGCACTAATGCATCCTTGTCACTGCTGTTTCTTCTTTAGGGGGAGACCGTTCACATGTTCATCACAATCCTTCTTTTTGCTAATGCAATTTTTTTTTTACGAAATTAATTTGGGGGGGGGGGGGGGGGGCTAGACAAAATTTTGGCTGGGCTCCAGCCCCCCCTTTTTTTTCCAGCATCTCAAACTCTTCACCAACATCCATTAGATACAATGATACAACGCTATTGTCAATAGCGTTGTAAACGCAGTGCCAGTGCGTCTACGGGAGTGCGGCCATGACGGCTACTTCTGCACGACGTTTCACTAAATAAAATAATGCAGATTCACCAATAGCTATTAAAAACAACCAAATTAATGTTACCTTTAATTAAAACAAACTTGTAGTACTGATACTGACGTAATAAGAAAGTTTTCAGCCACTCGGAAGAATACGGCGTAGCGCCAGATTTTCAAGAGTCGCGTGTTTATGTTGTAATGTTGTTGAATGCTGCCCTCATGTGTCCCTCACATGCAAGCTGTTTCGAAACCTCGGCCTTCGGCGCAGGTTCGCAGCTTCATCATTGAACTGGCATCCTTCTTTTTTTAACGCGATGCCCGCGTCTCCCGTAACGGAAGCCCAATAATACCTATTTGTCTCTTCTTATTTGACACCCCACGCTTTCTGAGTAGCTGTGTGGAAATTACATGATTCTTCTTCTTCAAATTGGTTTAATAGAACAAGCCGCACTGGGAATTAATCGAATTTTGGAAAAAGCTTTAAACCCACATTTTTTCTTTTTTTTCTGGAGGGCGCTGTTTACGCTGAACACTAGTTTTTCCCCTGGCCTTGATATTTTCCCCCAGAATTTATTTATGTGATTATTCAAGGCAAAGGAGTTGTTGAATATGGATATTCATGTGGTAGGTACCCAAGATATTCTGAAAAATTATTTACATTTTTAAGTTGGACACCTCGTCGTATGACTTTTTTAAACAAAAAGCAAAATGTGAAATCGCCCAGTTTCCGGACACTTCACGATATTGAATGCCTGCTATGCTGCTCGCTATCCCTATGGCTAGTTATAGTCGGACTCCCTCCGTATAGTATTATCGCGGCATGGGAAATTTCGCTTTTTGTGTTGCCTAAACTCCTTGAAGTGGCGATTTCTATCCAGTTCACCAGGCATTAAGGACTTTCTGCCGAGTTGTATACAAAGGACGATTAAAAAATGTTGTATCTTTCGGGACTTTTAGCGATTTTTAATAAATATTCACGTTTTCCAAAACCTGCAAATTTCCCTCACCGTGTCTGCTAAAAGGTACCGTCTATATTTTAACATAAATCTTTATTGGTGCTCTGTCCATGAAATTGAAAGTTCCATTGTCTGGTTCCCCTTCTACAGCTGCAAACACAAAATGAAGTCGAAAGGAGATATTTCCACCGCGAAATCATAAAAACTTTTAAGGGATCAAAATAAGGACAGCGCGTAAGAAAAAATAAAACGGCACACCGTGTAAAGTGAATGGCGCCCCCAATCGCCAATCATTAGACTTGTCTCAGTGATTTTTGTTTTCCTTTCGGGGAAAGGCAGGGTTTTAAGAAATCATCCTGCAGGGTAGCCCGACTGCGTCTGGCCGTACAGTACTATCGCAAGCTCTGTAGTACTACAGAGCTTGCGATAGTACTGTACGGCCAGACGCAGTCGGGCTACCTGCAGGGATATAGTCTTTAATCAACTTGAACGTTACAGGGAAAATATCATACTTTATTCAGGGGATGTTTTGGTAAAACATTAACTATGAAAAAAAAAGTTGAGATCTTTATAAAAACCACTTCCCGCATACCGCGATAATAGGGAGTCCACCTACGTTCGCACACTCCGTGCATGTCTATTTTCACAGGCATCGTACACGGAATAAACCACACCGCTGTCGGATTTTTTTATATCAATTTGAAAAGGAAGAGTTAAATACTACACAAAAGACAGGACAATTCGGGAAGGTTAGTGGGCAATCTTTATTCCGAAAGAGAAACATGATAAGTACCGCGATAATACGGCGTTCCATCCTACTAGTACTAGTAGGACTTTTTCGGAAAGATTCCCATATCTGGCCATCAATAATGTTTTCCTTCATCGACCTATCAGCCATCAGAAAGTATGTCAAATTTAGCAGGGAATTTATTGGGGTATTTACTGAGAAAACACTTAGAAATTTTCAGACCAGTCTCATTGTAGTTTGTACACAGATGACAAGTGATGGCCAGATGTGGGAATCTTTCCAAAAAGAATATGCTTAGGGTCCTGCTTTTTGAAAAAAAAAGGAAGCGGGAGACCCTTCTTTTTTTTTTGTCCTCCCCAATGGTCGCCCGACCGGGCTATTTTTCAAGATGGCTGCCATTTCTTTTTTTAAATGTCCGCAATTGGACTCAGCAAATTACATACCAGCTTTATTTTGAAATGTGTTTATAGCTCCATGATGCAACAGATACAATGTAAGATGCCAAACTAATGTCACTATTGAAACTTAAAAAAAAATTGGTTTAAAAAAAAAAAAATATAAGGAGGCAGCCTCCAAAAAGGAAGCAGGCGGGGACGCTAGACATGTTTTTGTTTTTTTATTTGGCCTAATTTGTTTCCCCCTCTCCACTTTGAAAACTTCTGTGAAGATTTAATTGGTGTTGCCGTTTCATACATTTACATTTTTTTTTTTTACATCATACATGTAAACTTGACGGTTGTCTCATTTTTTTTTGCAACTGTAGGCGCATCCATCAGTGCAAATGAAAGGCGCTGAGGCAGACTGGACGCCCATACAATGCACAGACGGGGAGTGTAGCCACTCCTTGATGAAGGCTCCGCATCTGCACTGTCCATTCTGCTCCCAGGACAGTCTCTTCACTGATGAGATTCTCCTCAAGGCGCACTACAGGGTCAAGCACGTGGATAAAGGCATCAACTTTGGGGGTGAGTTTGCATTTGGGAACAAGACCAAGCTCTCGCATACTTGTGACTGGATCCCAAGAAATAAGTTTTAGGTTAAGGACAATGTTTTCACTTTCTCTTCATGAGTCATGCTACAAGATGACTTGTGGTTCGTGTTCGTGAAAAGCTTTGTGAGTTGAATTAAGATAAGTTGAAGGTAGTGGACAGCAGGACAAGGTAGTGGCATTTGTGGAAGTTTTATGAAATTGACAGATACCTGGGCTGGTTATTCTTAGCAGATATCAGTGTTTGATAGACTCAATTGTCATAGGCCATGCCCAAGTGCCAGCTGTGTCTGGGTAAAACTTTGCATGCCTTCCTGAACAAGAGTCCTAACTCAGGTCAATAGCTTACTTGTGCCTGTTACAGCAAGAGAACCATGTAAAAAGATCCATAGTTCATGTTTTGTCAAAGTGCATATGGCTGTCAGCTGTTGTCATGATTGTCAAACCAATCCTCTACTATATCCCTCCCCAGGTCTTAAAATATTGCGGTGTTGTAGATCCTGCATCGTCCACGGCATCATTCACGGCCTACGTCCCCTGCTGGGATGGCGAGTGCGAAGATCTACTTTGCGCCCATGAAGAAGCAACGACCAACGAAGACAGGTATAAAGCAGCCAATGATCTTTTCGGTAGGCTCTATGAGAAATGAAGGCAGAGATGGACAGAGACTGTGGAATCGATGGATTTGACCCATTCCAGCTGTCGGGCATGGCAAACCATCAACAAGCTCACAGGTAGGTCCACAACCCCAACACAATGTCCAATTGCTTCAAATTCCATCGCGTATCAGCTGTTGAGCAACGGTTGCTTCCCCAACGCGAACAAGAACTTTACTAGAATCACGTCGGCGAGAGTCAAGGAGCTGCACCATGCGCAGGGGTGTGATCCCAACCTTTCTGGCGACTTCACGGCACACAAACTCCAGTTGGCCATCCAACAGCTAGAGACCGGCAAGGCTCCAAGCTGTTTGCCACGCATGCCCACAGGCTGCTCACGACATCGGCAGACGTCTCTAAGGCCGCCTGGGTAAAAACCAGCTGGAGAGTCCGGTGGACCTCAGCAGAACCATCATAAATGACCCTAAGGATGTGTGCGGTCAAGACCTCCCACGAAAGCAGTGGACGACCCTCAACCATCTGAGGACTGGAGTCGGACGCTATGGTACATCCATGAAAAGCTGGGGATTGGCAGACAGCACTTCCTGCGACTGCAGAGAACCAATCCAGACAGTAGACCACATCATCACCGCCTGCCCAAAACACCGGCCGCCTGATCAACCTGGAGGATGACACACTGGCCTGGCTCACCTCGACAGAGCTGCAAGTCTAAGGACATACATGTACAACAGAAGAAGAAGTCCTAAATTACCAACGCAATCTTCAGGTGCGTCTTGCACGACATCACGCAGTACGTGCGAATGCGCGCGCCAATCTCCATAAAAGGAGTTGTGTACATCTTACTCGCGAGCTAGACACTCCATTATTTAGGTATAGAGGGGTGTTTAAAAAACATGAAGTGAACTTGTTGAACAAAATCGGGGGTTTTTGACCAAAAAGTTTTGATTTCTTTTACCCAAAAAGTATTTATGAATGGGAATAAATATGTGCTTGGTCGGTATTAATCACTCTGTTTAAAAACTGGTTGGAGTATGGGTGCTGATAATTACCCTCACCTTCGGCTCGGATTAAAACCGACCAAGCACACATTTATTCCTTTTAAACTGCATCAACAGTAATAAGCTGATCAATGTTTGCACATGTGGTTAAACTACCATGGTTCACTCAGAAAATGTTGTAAATTCCTGATGCTTGAATTCCTAAACTCATTGGACTTATTTATAGCTTTAACCATAACAGAACTCAACCCATCAAACCCCAACGGCATGTTTTGTTGGAATCTGTCAGGATGGGTACAGTACCCCTAAACTGACAGTCTTTTACATTGGGTTGGCACACCTCCAGAACCAAAGTCAGAAATATGTGTGTGCGCAGTTTCCCTTATGGTGTTGGAATTTGCCAGGATGGGTATGGTTCCTAGTAAATCATGCTAGGGATTTAGGGTCAAAAGACTCTCTGAAATAAATTTCGCAATCAAACATTTGACTCAAGTATCCATTCTTTTGAGAATGATTAGACACACCTTTTCGGCTAAAAATGTTTGAAAATGCACTTATTTTTAGCCTTCACAGTTTCAGTGCTGCTTCAAGACAACTGAGTATGCCGTTGCTGTAATGTAATGGTCCCCTTGAATCTGCATGGAAAAAAACAACCATGAAATAAATTTAATCAGTTGAAATTTATGTACCTTGTGAGCAGGTATGGTAGTTCTACAAGGATTTCGGTGGATTATATCAAATTTTGATACAAGGAAGAACTCTTCCCCCAACCCCTCCCCCCACTTTGTTTTCAATTGATATATCATGAATCCATACAGAAGAAGGGAATGGGTAGACAACAGTATGTTTAAAACAGTTGTCTTCACTCCTGCACTTCTTTGGTCAATAATATAAATAAAACAACAACCAAAAATTCAGCAATTTTTTGTTTAGGGGGTTGGGGTGGGTGAGGGCCAATATTGATTTTACAAATTGAAATTACGAGGTGCAAAGGGTGCACCACTGGTGTTGATTAAGTTGATTGAATTTTGGAAGATTCGAGAAGGTTCTAAGCAAAAAAAATATAATAAGTCGGGGTGGCAATAAATTTTGAAAGTGGACTTTAACAGTCAATTTATCATTGCAATTTGTCCTTCACCTTGCCCACCTAATGTTAGGAGTAAGGTTTGAAAAAGTGAGTGATTGCTTGCACCCAGTTACAAGGAATGACGTGTTCTTGACACGCAGTGCATCTCTTGGGACTTCCTTGCCTGTATGCTGTTTTTACCGCTACAGATTATCTGTCCCATTGAAGCGCAACATACATGTCAACATTTCCACTCCATAAACTCCTGTCTTTCCCCTCTGTGTAGCCCTCACCCGGAGTGGCCTGAGGGACTTTCTATAATACAGGAATTAGTATCCACGATAATTGCTCAACCTTTCCCTCGACCATTCTGTCCTCTCGTAAACAGTTGTTCTTATTGAGATACCAGACGAGGGAAGCAAAGGGGATTTGGAGGACGAGACTTGCTACACAACTTGTCGCTGCTGCTGCAGAAGAAGGAACGTCTGGAGAAGACTCTTGAGGAGGAGCGGACCACGTGGGCCCAGACAGAGCACAGGATGAAAGGCAATATAGAAAGGCTTCGTACAAAGGTGAGTGGGCATTCCATCTGGTCTTGGTCTAAGAATGAGTTTGGATCTTGTTCCCTGAATGCAACAGGTATCAAAGGCGTCAATCGCTTCTCAAAAGTGGGAGGGGGGACAAACCTTGATCAGAACTAATGCAGGCACACTAATGCGACTGCATTCTTTCAGTGGTCAGATTTCTGTCAGGATGCCAGCTGTGGGCGATCATGGTGTGCACTGTTGTTGTCATTGTTCTACATTTTCTACACGTTCTACGTTGTTCTATGCGCTGATGCTGCATATCATATATGCAGACAAACCGTTCCACACATTTTGTACACAAGCTCAGATGTGTCGTTTATCCTTGTGTAGAAGATCCGTGGTTGCACTCATACTCTAGTTGCACTAAATAACTGGGCAACAACACATGTGCCTTCTTAAGCATTCATGCTCCAACTGCACACATCATAAAGTAAGTGTATAAATGTAGGACTTTGGTGTGCGCTGTCATGGTTGTGATTGGTTACACATCATGGGGCAGAGCCTAATGGATTGATCTATTAAAATTCCATCTGTAAACAAATAATTTCTCTGCCCATCCTTCTTGCCCTCCAGGTTGAGTATTTGTCCAACACAAACACATCACTCAAGCAGCAGCTGTCCATGATGCACACGTCCAGTTTGAAACGTCTGACCAAGGACAGCGAAAACCAGTTCATTTTGCAAGAGTTACTGCAACACATGTCTGAGGAGCACACCCAGCTGCTGCACCACAATCTAGCACAGCTGCGGCTGTACGCTCAGGCCTGCGCATTATCCAAATCAGCCCCCGAGGAATCTGCAGCTGAATCTACAGTCTTGGTACCAGACCTGGCTGACCAATCACAGGACATCTCACACATGGCCATGATGTCGTCCTCGGAGGGCACCCTTGGGAACATGAAGCAGACAGTCGTCATGATGATAACGTCTGAGGAGGATTCGGAGCCGCTCGGCAACATCGTGGATAACCCCAGAGATACTGTGGGACATGACTCCTTGACTTTGGATAAGGACGTTCACTTGTCACCAAATGACATTCTGTACCAACTGACAAGCGAGGGACTGTCACCAAGACATGCCACCTCTGAGTCGGGTCACGTTTATCAATCAGGTAGAACTCATCCACATCACAACACAGGCTGTGATGTCACACAACAGGATTTTCACAAGAACAAAAGTTGAAAATTGGAGACAACATGTCAAATGAGGGACCACTATTAAAACGTGGGAGAACTAACAGCCTGAAAGCCACTTAACTAAATAAAACCGGACATATTTTGTAAACAGTGTACACTCAGTGTTGTCCGAGGGCTTAGTTGGGGGGGGGGACTTGAACTAATGAGTTGAGTCTTCATGGAGTTTGTCTTACCTGAATGAAAAATTTTACCAAAGAAACTGGCCTTGGTCTCTCCTATCTTTTCGAGTTCTCGATCGGTAATCCCGAATCCGCTCAGTGAATGGGCGTCGTCGTAGGCCCAAACAGATCCATGTAGGTCCTCAAACACTTTATATCTATTACTGAAACATAAACGATGCAATTATGATTAACATTGAAACATTCGGTCGTATGTATAAAAACTAGCATTTGCTCTTTTTTTTAACTACGTATTTTTCAGCATAACTTTTATTTGCATGAATAAAAATGAGAGCAAATGCTTTCACTATTTGCTTCAAGCTAAAAGTATTTGCTTTTTTACTTTTTGGCTTTTGCTAGACTAGAAGTGTGGACTGGTTTGAAAGTTGAAAAAAATATAAAGTTTCAATTGACCTCAAATTAATAAAATTTTAAAATCTAAAACTCTAACTGTGGGACATGAACCAGCAACCTTCAGCAGTTCAGATTTAGGGTCATCAGTCCGTATTACTTGATTAAGCACAACTTCACACTATTTTGTGGTTACAAAATTAACTGTAAAGTTTCAATTGACCTAAAAAGTAATAAAATTTTGAAATTCCCAGCATGGGAATGAACCTGCAACCTTAAGATTTAGAGTCGGCAGTCTGTACCACTCGACCAAGCATCAATTCATCCTTTTTTAGTGGTTACGGAATTAACTATAAAGTTTCAGTTTTCCCAAAAAGAAATAAAATTTTAAAATCTACAATTCCAACCCTGGATTTGAACCCGCAACCTTGAGATTTAAAGTCAGCAGTCCATATCATTGGACTAAGCATAATTTCATGCTTTTGACTGGTTACGAAATTGACTATAAAGTTTCAATTTACCCAAAAAGAAATAAATTTTAAAATGTAAAATTCCCGCCCTGGATTTGAACCTGCAACCTCCAGATTTAGAGTCGGCAGTCCATACCATTGGACTAAGCATGATTTCATGCTTTTGACTGGTTACGAAATTGACTATAAAGTTTCAATTTACCCAAAAAGAAATAAAATTTTAAAATGTAAAATTCCCGCCCTGGATTTGAACCTGCAACCTTCAAATTTAGAGTCAGCAGTCTGAACCACTGCATTAAGCATAATTTCACACTTTTTAGTGGTTACAA